CAGCTCTGTTATTCTGCCCACCCCTCCTTCAGAAGAAGCAGTAGCTCTTGGGTTTCTTTGCAGCTGGCCACCCCTGAAGTCTAGAGAGGCGCTGGCCCCGAGGACGTCGGTGTGGGGTCCTGCCTCCACGCTCCCAAAACTGTCCCCAGGGTTACGGCATCCTCCTCCCGCCACGCTGCAGGCTGGGACACGCTGGTACCCCCTCCCAAAAGCCAGCAAACACCCCCAATTTGCCCCCTCCCTGGTTCATCTCCTGCCCCCACACTAGATCTCAAAGACGGGCTCTTCGCACGCTGGCTGCTCTGGAGAAGGGGCTTCTCCACGGGGTAGCGGGGAGCATCTTGGGGCTTCATGGGGTGTTTCTGTTGGTAAATACCCAGTTGGGTGCTGGGGTTCATTCATGTCAGGGTTCAGGATCTCCTTGAGGTCTGGTGGCCATGTAGCAGGCAGCTTCTAGAGCCCCCACCGTGTGCTGGGAGCCGTGCAGGTACTTGGAGCATCTACCTCGGCTCGTACCCCCTTGGCTTTATTTTATCTTTGAAATAAATGCTCTGTCTGGACCTGCGTCTCCTCATTTTGGGGATTTCTCAGCACTGGAGCTGCAAATCCCCCCCACGGAGCTGCTGTCTGGTGGACAAGGGGCTCCTCCTGCCCAGCTGCAGGGGTTTCCAATGCCCATCACCTTGATCTGGTCCTGCTGGGGATGGTGACACCACGGTCCCCCCGGTACCTGCACCCCCCTCAGAAAAAACACCACCCTAAATCCCCCCCTTATACACACAGCAGCACAGCTCACTCTATCTAGCGCTGTTGGAGTGGTGATGACAGCAGCTTCAGATTCTTACACCAGCTGAGGAGCTGCACCCTGGGCTGGGGCTGCTCCTTGGGGTGACATGGGGACACTGGTGGCATTTATTCCCTGTTCCCATGAATGTGGCTGGATGATCCCGTGGGATGGGAATGGAGCTGAGGGACTTGCTGAGTGCTCCTAAACCTCATCTGTGCAGCAATTCCACAAAAATCGTTCATCTTGGGGGCAGGAATTGAGACTAAAGGGTTCTTGTCCCACTTTTAACCAGCGGAGAGGTTTGTCACCTGACGAGTTCATTTCCCACCCGGCAGCGGTGGGGGTGCCTGAGAGCCTAACAAGGAGTAAGGGCGCTGATGAGCGTCTGGCACTGGTGGGAAGCAGTTCATTTAAGGAGCAGCCCGAGCTCACGGCAAGCTTGGGATGGAGGCAAGGAGGGAGAGCCCAGCACTGATTTTCAGAGGGGTAGGAGCACCTTGGTGAGTTATTGATGCCCTAAAAGGCGGACCTCTGTCTGCACTTGCTCCCTGGGGTATCACCCCTACTGTTGGGGACAGGGTCTGCCCCCAGCCCTCACCTCCAGCCCGAGGGTGAGCTTGTTTGAACTACCACTTTTAGTTTTGGGTTAAATATTTTCTTGTTTTTAACAGCCCACCCCCCTGCCCTGACAATGCTCACTGCTGCTCAGCCAAAGCCTCATGGATTATTCACTCGCTGTCAGTTATTTCTGTTCCTGGCTCTGAAAAAATAATGAGCCAGTTTGGTAGGAAAAGCCCCAGAGATTGGGGGAGCAGGACAAACAGCCTCTCTCTGCTCATCCCACGTTTACAGCCCCATTACAGCTCCAGCTCTTCACCTGTAGCTCCGGAGCCTCCTGTACCTCATCTCCCAGCAGCTGGGGAGCCTCTCCAGCCCCAGGGGGGCCACCACACAGACCTGCTGACCCCCCTCAACCAGGCTGGTAGGTCCCTCTGTCTTTGCCAAGCATGGTGGATCCGTCCTTGCTCATCCTCTGCCAGCATCAGGTTCTTTTTTTTTTTTCCCCAGAGCATCCCACTGCCACATGCTGAGCTGGGTCGGGGCCAGCTTCTTGCTGCCAACTGCAAAATGCCCCTTTCCATGAAATCGGGTGTTAGCATGGCGATAACCCAGAGCCCCTCAATCTTTAAACCCAGATTATCTTTCCCCAGATTTTCAAGGTTTTCTGTGGCTGTGTTGAAGTACAGCTTTCCCTGGAAATGCAGGAATAGATGTTTGAAGTCTCTAGGGAAACGTGTTTCTTATCTATATGCATATTTCTACGTGTTTTCAGCCTTGAAACCTGGGGAGGAGCAGGTACCTCTCAGGGCTGGGGACAGCAGGTGACAGGAATTAGAGAGGGTCTGGGGAGCTGGCAGGATGATGGGGAGGGGCCCGCTTGGGGACACATGGTGCTGGTGAGCCGGTGATCAAAGGGCTGTATAAAGGGTGGCGACGCAGGCAGGAGAAACGCTGGGGCAAAGGCCGGCAGTCACTGTCCCACGCCGGCAAACACGGGGCCTGCCAGGAGCTGGGTACCCCAAGGGACAGCATGGTGAGTGCCCCACGGCTGGGGGGTGAGGAGAGGCCGCGCACCCCCCTTTTTTGCCGTGGTGGTGGAGGGCTGGGGGGCTCAGTGTCTTGCAGCAGCTCTTGTTTATGGTGTTTGTTGCAGCCATCCCCGAGGCGGAGGTGGGGAGCGCAGGACAAGCCCCTCTTGTCACCGGAAAGCTTTGGCTCTTCAACCGTGGCTGGGACCTGGGGATGTTCCCCCAGGAGACCCCCCTGCCAGACCCCCACAGCAGGCACAGGGCTGACCTCCCGTGCGTACCTGCTCCCTGCCCCACAGTGATGGGGGATGCTCCCCTGCCACTCCTGGGGGGTGGGTACAGACTGAAGGACCATGGGGCTCCTCTGGGCAGCACCCCCTTAGAGGGAAAGGGCCCTTGGGGACATGCAGGGGAGGGGACAAGGTGTGGGGTGGCAGCGACCTTGGGGGTGCATGAAATGCTGGTGATTTGGGGGAGAGGAGCTCCTGGGGTTAGGGGGGCTGCTTTACATACCTGGGTAAAGCCAGGGAGCACCCACACCCTGAACACCAGGTCTGGGTCCTGCATCTTGGAAGGGTGCTGGAGCCCTGGAGGGGGGCTGGGAAATGGCACGGGGGATGCCCAGGGCAAGCTGAGCGGGCGAGGGGTCTTCAGGGTGGAAAGGAGAACTGTGAGGGCAGGCAGCAGTGCGTGGTCCTCGCCTGATGTGTAGTAGCGAGCTGGCGGTGGGCTGAGCTGGGATGCAGGAGGGGTGTCTTCACCCCCCGATGAGGGAAACGGGGAGATGTGGAGCTGAAAAGTGGCGGAGGGGAACAGACACACACACAATCTGCTGAGGGGCAGCGACACGTCGCCCCGGTGCTGTGTCTGTGTGGGACGGTGGGGCCAGGGCAGCCACGTGTGCTCTCCCTTCCCTTCCTTGCCTGGGATGCTGTAGCAGCGCTGACGATGGCACCCAGAGACCCTTTTGTCACCCTCCCTCCCTACACCCCCCCGGGGGATACCAGGGCCGTGCAGGGGGCTGGATGCTGCAGGCTGGTGTCAGTCACCCTCCTAAAAGCGAAGCTGGGGGTGCTGGGGGTAAGAGCAAGCACCTCGCCAGGCCCCCGTGCCCCAGGGCTGTGGCCGGTGCCGGGCTGCCCGGTGCCTTCTGCTCCCCAGGGCATCCAGATCCTCCTGGGCATCCTCCACCTGGGCTGCGGGGGGGTCCTCATCTCCTCCCTCAGCGAGCCCCTGCAGGTGCTGACCGCCAGGTCCTGCTACTTCATCTGGGGAGGATTCCTGGTAAGGGGTTCCCCTGAATGTCCGCTTGGTTTTTGGGGCAGTACCTGCTTCTTCACACCTTCCTCTTCCTCTTCCAAAAGTTCATCCTCTCCGGTTCCAGCTCCATGGTGGCAGAGAAGAAACAGGGTGTCTGTGTGGTAAGGGAAGACGTTTCTGCTTGCAGCGGTTTTCTGGGGTGCAGGGGTGCTGGCTCCTGGCACCCCAACTCCTCCAAGTGCCAAACTGCCCCAGTGCATGGATGCTTGCTGGGGCTGGGGCTGGTTGTGACAACCTGCTGCCAGAGGACCCTTGTCCCCAGGCATGTGGATGTGGCACATGCGTGTATGTGATGGCTGCAGGACTGTCTGCAGAGCCAGGGGGGGCTCGCTGTGCCTGCCAGACCCCCCCTGAGGGCTGGGGGAACAGGTTTTGGGGGGGAGAACTTTTAGGGGTGGACTGCTAGGGGGGTATGTGGCTGGCTCTGTCCCCAACAGGTGAATGGCTTCCTGGTCCTCAACGCCATCAGCCTGCTGGCCTCCGTGGTGGGCATCGTCCTGGTGCTCTGGGACTTCAGTTTCCACCATGAAGCCTTTTTTGGGCCCCAGCTGGAGCTGGTGAGGGGGTGGGGTGGCAGGGTGGGGGGGATGGGGTGCCACATCCCAACAGCCCATGGCAGGGCAGGCTGGGATGCACATGGCAGACACGATGCTGCCAGGAACCTAAGAGGTGGGGTGATGTGGGGTCCCACCCCCTCTATCCTCGCCAGCACCTGGTGCGGGGGCTCCTGGGTGTCCTGTTCACATTCACTGCGCCCGAGACCTGCATCACCTTCTTCTGCATCTATTTTGGCTGGAAAACCAGACTGGCCACATCCACGCCGGTGAGTGGATGTGCGGGGAGATTTCTACCCCCCGGGGAACACGGGAGAGAGGGATGGCAGGTTGGGAAAAGGGGTGACAGGGATGAGCCCCCCCCCCAAACCCCTCAGAAGCAGCAGGAAGGAAGGCACCAGCCTCGGTGCCTTTGCTCCCGTGGTGTTTCTTCCCTGGCCAGGCTGAGGATTTCACCCTGAGCTGCGTGCCTCCACCGGCGATGCTGCCACCCCCGCCACCCTACCACGAGGTATTCGCGGCTGTGGACAGACGGGCTCTGTAGCAGCTCTGCGGAGGGTGGGGGGGGAGCTCTGCCCATCAGTGGCTCCCCCTTCCTCTCCATGTCGTCGTGGCTTTCCTTGTATCAGCTGCAGAGACATGCTGTGGCCATCCCCTGTCCTGCCCGCAGCGATGGTGTGGCCTTGTGTCCCTCCCTCGGGGTGGCAACGCTAATAAAGGCTGAGAGCTGGTCCCAGACTGGTCCCATGAGCTCCCCATGACTGGGCAGGGGTTAAGGCAGGGGAGATGCTTAAGGAAAGCCAAAAATCACCACACGTTCCCAGTCAGCAGTGACCTCAGGGGTCTTTGTGCCAACCCTGGGTCTAAACAAGTCGCTCAGGGTCATGTCCCGTTGCTGGTGGCCCCATGTGGGACTGGGGTGCTGGTGACAGGTGTCTTCCCACCCCGGGTGCCATTGCTGTGGCAGACAGAAGCAGTGGTGGGACTTTGACAGGTCTCGGGGTGACTGCGCGGAGGACAGCGGGAGGGGTGGGGACGGCACCAAGGTCTGCAGGTAATAAACCCAACTGGCCTCCGCTCCCATGGCACAGCCATCATGGCGGGGACAAGGGGCAGCACGGTGAGTGCCAATACAGGCGATGGCCAGCATGGGGGGAGCTGGGGGGGTGGCTGTGAGCGGGGAGGGGGGGTCCCAATGGCTCTGTCTTGCACTGGAGGGGTATCTGGCAAAGGTGGGGTTACTGGGGGTGGTGGCTGCCCCAGCTCTTCTCAAGTTCAAGGGGAGGGGGTTGCCTGGGCTCCAGGAAGGGGCTCTCACGACTCCTCCTCACATCCCAGGTTGGTGGCGTGCAGATTGCCTGCACACACCCCACCCCACCCCCCCAAAAAAAAAA